ATATTTCGAGAAACATTTAAAATATTTTAGAGCAGTAAACTCGGCCAGCTAAGTAATTCAAATGAATCATTGACTTCTGCTTTCTTCATTTGCTTCTAAAACACATATTTTTTTACAATTCAAAATAGCATTTTTGGATATCTTTTCTGCTGGAGATACTGTTGTCCTCAAAAACCAAAATGTAAATGGTGGCAGTTTTAAAATCTTGACTTTTCCAAATCGCGGTATACCTTAAAACGGTTATTGTCCCGTACCTAAAATATAATGTATATAAATCTATAAAATATGTATATGTAGTGTATAGAATTGTAATGAGTAGAGAAAACATTATGATGCAACAACAATATAAACCTTTTCTGAATAATGATTTTATTATTAATAATAGTTTATACTGATAACTAGCCACAGAATAAACTTAGACTTTATACTGGAAAAGATATGTCTCTTTCTATGATTCAATTTTTAATTTTTTTTTTTATGATTTGAACTTTTTATAGATTTTTTCCTATTTCAAATAATGCAGATGAATATCAAATACAGAGCATTAACATAAAAGCAGAACAATGCAAAATAAATAAATACAATAAATAAATAACATCATATAAATTGCAAAAGTAAACCAAACCAAAACACACACAAGGAAATTAAAAAGAAAAAAAGATTATTAACTATTATTTTGTCTCTTTACATGTTTGCATACATTGTGGGTTGCAGAAATGTAGAAATTTTCCCCATTTATCAACACAAATTTAAATTCTACCATGTAAACTATAGGAGAGTTTTTCATACGATTAAATGTTTTTTTTTTGTTTTTGTTTTTGTTCAATAATTTAACAGTACTATCAGTTCACAAATTGTTTTTACTTCCTTTTTACTTTCTCCCCAACAGCAGCAGTGGCTGTAATTAGATGTTGCTCATAAATCCAGTAAATACAGATAAATAATATAAACTCAATAAATGAACAAATAAAAAACACATACAGAACATAATAATATTAAAAATATATAGACATAAATACAAGATCAATACAATAACAATAGTACATAAATCAAATAAGATAATTACACTTTTACCGTGCGTCTCACCACAGTGACCTTATTCATTCTCCAAAAATGCCAAATAATTTCGCCCTTCTTCTCTGATAAACATTCAATTGATCTAGTAATCTGTCATTTTAGGATGATCGTATTTTAAAGTCAGTGCAGATACAACCCTTCTTTTATTTTACCTCTGCCACTAACTAAAATTAAGCAGATAAATGGAGTAGATGTTAAAAACATGCATGACTAATATTGATGTAACAGCTTTAAGAATTTGTCTTTGCCAGCCATCAGATGTAGTTTGGCATCATATGTCAGTCTATGACTGCAGAATACTGCGATCGACCTATCAGAATCAGATATCCTGAAGGAGTGTGTAATAATATATCACACACACACACACACACACACACACACACACACACACACACACACACACAGATCTATACTCTATATTTAGAGCTATAATGTCATTTCCTATTCTCTTGTTACCATGCAGCGGATTTTCCTTGGCAACCGATGGCTCCATGGTTACATAGGAGGTTTCTGTTAATGTGTAGATAATTCCTCATGCACTCAGTAACTCTGTTTCCTCATATCTAACATATCCTGCAGCTTATTAAGTGATGTCGTGGCTATTAACTTGTTCATGTTCAAAGTTTTTTTGTGTTTTAATGTATAAATTACATGGTTATTTATCACTTGTGTATGATTTAAAAATATTCTGCACCTCATTTTCGTCAACAAATGTCTTGGTAAATTCCTTATAAATTATATTGAATTAAATGTGAATTAAATTACAATCTAAAACATTTTTTCTCCAGTTTTCACTAATACCTTTGTCATCACTTAAAAATAATTTTATTGACTTCATTTTAAAATAGAAAAATAATTATTCAAAGTATTGTAATGAGATATGCACAATGTTTGATTAGTTTTACAATAGTAAAATGTCTGCATGAACACTTTTAGTATGCAGGACTTTTGCCAGCTCGTGTGTATAGTGGAAAGTAAACGCCAAAAAGTGCATATATCAAAAAAGAAACTGTATTTATCAAAAAATGTTCATCAAATGTTTATTAAAAATGCCTTAAATGTTTAGCTAACAATACCTTTAGCTTTATTTTACCAGTTGTTTTGTATTATAGAGCTTAATCATTAGTGTTTATGAGTTTCTTAAAACACATGCTTTTAAAAGATGATTCATGTTTTAATACGGAAATTATTAATTAAATCGCTTTGCCTTTTCAGTAATATATTATCATAGATATTGTAATAAAGGAGTTGTAAAACAATTGTGTACCTTCAATTTTGTTGTACCATAAAGGTAAAGAACAGTATCATAAGAGCTCTTTTCTGTATAGTATACAACTTTTACAAAGGTACAAAACTGTTCCTTAAGGAACTTTATTTGTACCTCCGTGTACCCTTTTGTAGTATAGTATATAATAAGGGAGTGTAGTATATAATATATAGTGTAGTATATAATAATATTTAGAACAGA